CAACCCCATCCCACCCTCCAGCACAAGCTGGCCAACCCCCAGAATGAGCCACCTCCACTCCCTTCCCTCCCTCCTATTCTGAAGACAGTGCCCAAGCTAAGAGGGGGAGGAGCAGGGCTAAGGGAGAGTGGCTTCAGACTCACATCTTCTCTAAATTGCAGCTCAATCCGCTAATCCCCAGCATGGAACAGCAAACATCTGTTGGGTCTGGGGGATCACTATAACTCATGGCATTTCCTATGAAGCACTGTGAGTTACAGTGGTGAACCACACTTCTGTCTACGCCCTTGGTCTGTATAAAGTGATCATGTGTGTAAAGTGAGGATATTAATACTCTTTCCTACTACACAGAGTTACTAATAGCAGAACTGTTTGTTAGGTACTTTAATGCTATGATTAAGGGAATGAACAGGGACATAGACAGACAAATGCCTCCTTACCTGTAGCTCTGGTTTTCCATCAATATAAACTGTATTGTTGTTAACCATTTCCACTATGGCAACACCCAAATTACACCTAATTCCAAAAGAAATACAGAAGCCCAGGCCACTCATTATGGCGATGATATAGCGCTTGGGCAGTCCACAGCAGTAGCAGTCAAGCAGGGGAGATTTGTGAGTGGTTGCTTGCACGGGCCTTCCTTCTTCAGTTAGCTCAATGTGGTCTTCCTCTGCATTGGTGCCATCAAGCTTCCTAAAAATGCAAGATGGTAAAAAAAAGAAATGAAAATAAATGAAGGATTCCATCTATAAAATTTGCCGACATGGGCATGGCAGCAACACATTCCTCACAGCCCCCATGGCTGTGTCCTTTTTCTCTCTTAGTACAGAGTATTGCATTAAAAAAAAATCAATGGCACTTTTAAAGAGATGAGTCTTCCAACACTACTTGAGATTTTTGAGCATGCAAACTTCCATGTTTACAGGTCTGAATCAGATAGCTGGACATATGATTGGCTGGCTGCTCATACCAGGAATGCTTGTGGGAAAGAAAGCTGTATTGAATTCATTAGAAATTATAAATACCACCATCAATCAGCAGGAAAAAACCACATTGGTAATAAGCAGGGCTTATTTTTTCTTTCTGAAGGAGTATTACATTTCTCAAAAATGGCCTTTTGCTTGTCCCAAAACTATTTGTGAATTTGTGTCTAATCCATCAGTTTCAACTAAGACAAAAATATTTAGAGGTAGATTGCAGATACAAGAAGGATCAACCCTTTACATCTCAACATCTCAGGGGGTTATAGTACTTAGCTAGGGTGTGGGAGACTCAGGTTCAAGTGCCTCTACTACCTGAAATGATTGAAACCATAAGAACACAGGACTACCATTTACTGGATATGACAATAGATCCATCTTGCCCAGTATCCCATGTCACACAGTGGCAGAGAGTGGATGCTGAAAGGGAAGGTAAATGGGGTACAACCAGGCTTTTTTCCACTGTTCCTCTCTCACTTGTAGCCCCCAGAATTTAAGGTCTAGCAAGTTCTGATTCAGAGGCCGTGCCCCTAACTCCCATGCTCAATAACTACCAATGCACCTTTCTTTCAAGGATTTGTCCAATACCTTTTCTGAATCTGGTTAAACCACGTATGGACAATTATTTTGGCTGGAGTACCACTTCAGGAGTTTTCGTAAGCTATCGCAGGCTGGGTCAGCACCCCCCACCCCACCAACAGCTAACCAAAACTCTGTAAGGGGCCCTCTGTGCACTGGGAGGAGGCCACAGGTAGGTGGGGAGTGGCATCTAGTAGTGGGACAGGCAGGTGCGTGTCAGGGCCAGGGCTAGAAATGGGATTATGAGGTAGTGACAGCATGGGTGCAGGGCCCAAGGCAGAGCTATGATCCCCTCCCCACATATCCCTGAAATGGGTGCCAGCTCCATAGGCAGTGGTAGGGTGTACAGGGAGTGGATCACAGCTCTGCTCTGGGCTGTGCTCCATGCTGTCACAGCCCAGTGATCCCAGGGCCTCCATGGAGACTGGCTGAGACCTGTACAGGCAGGGCACCCAGCCAGACAGATGGGATAGGGCCACAGGTAAGTGGGGAGCCATGTCTAGGAGCAGGACAGGCGGATGGGGCTGGGCATTGGGTTGGTGAGTGTATGGGGTCTGGGCAGACCCATACTCACACCCCACACACTCTCACCCCACACACTGTTGCCCACAGAACAGTTGCCCATCACAGGGATGTGTGGGGAGCAGATCGTGCCTCTGCCCTTGGTCCCACACTGTCACTGTCCTATGATCCCAAACCCAATCCCCAGTCCTGCCCACCTGTCCCACTCTACCTGGCCATGCACCATGCTTACACAGGTCCCAGCTGTTCGCCATGGAGACCCTGCCTGCTTCCTTGGTCCAGCACCCCCAGCAGTCAATGAAGGGCAGATGGGTCAGCGTGCCTGGGCAGCACGTTGGGTCCAGCAGCCGCAGCTGGGAGGAGCCATTGCTGGAGCTCCTGGGAAATGGAGTCCAACCACTGTGTCACCCCAGCCCTGCTGCACACCTGAGAGCAGCAGGATTGGCCCCCCCACACCATGGCCCGGGTTACCCACACACACACACACCTAGGGCAGGCAGTACCAAGGGACTTACTGCAGGCTAGACAAAATGCTTTGGCATAAAAAATCCAGCCCACAAGCCATATTTTGCCCACCCCGGGTTAAACAGTTAGCTTCCACAACATCTTGTGGCAATCTACACTTTAATTACACACTGGCCACGTCTAAACAAGATGCAGACTGTGCAGTAGCTCATTACTACTGCGCAGTAGCATCATGTGGCATGAAGCATAATGTGATGCTACTGCGCAGTATTAACAAGCTACTGTGTAATCAGCATCACCTAAAAGCCGTTCGGCGACACTAATGTGCAGTAACTCCAGTTTATACAAGTAATGAATGTGCAGCCAACATCTTGGATAGATATGGCCACTATGTAAAAGAACTTCTTTTTGTTAGTTTTAAGCTTACTCTCTACTAGTTCCATTTTAGGACCCCTAGATCCCATATTGTGAGATAGCAAATAATAAACCCTACTTACTTTCTCTTCACCATTTAGTATTTTGTAAACCCTTGTCATGTCCCCTGTCAAGCATCACTTTTCTAAATTGAATTGGCTTAGCTCCTTTAATCTCTCCTCATATGGAAGCCCCTCCATACCACTAATCATCCTTGTTGCCCTTTTCTGTGTCTTTTCCGGTTCATCTATATCTTCTTCTATATCCTTTTTGAGGTGTGTGGACCAGAACTGGACACAATATTCAAGATGCGGATGCACGATGGCTTTATTCAGAGGCATAATGATGCTTTCATTTTATTATTTTTCACAATTCCATTCTTAATAATCCCCAACATTTTGTTTGCCTTTTTTAGAGCTGTTGAGCACTGAGGTGATGCTTTTAGCTATCTGTGCACAATGATTCCCTAATCCCTTTCTTGTGCGGTAGCAGCTAATGTAGAGCCCATCATAGTGTAGGTAGAGCTTGGGTTACTTTGTCCATGTGCATCACTTTACATTTACCTACAATGAATATCATTTGGCAATTTAGTCACCCATTTAGTCAATAGTGCCAGATCCTTCCGTAGTTATTCACAATTGACTGTGGTCTTTACCTCTTTGAATAATTTTGTGTCATCTGCAAATTTGGCCACTGCACTACTCACCTCTTTTTCCAGATGACTTATGAATATTTTAAACAGCACTAATCACAACACAGGTTTCTGGGGGATCCTACTGTTTACTTCTTTCCATCCTAAAAATTAACCATTTATTCTCACTCTTTGCTTTCCATCTTTAAGCCAATTTTTAATCCACGAGTGGATGTTCCTTGTAATCCCCTGACTACCTAACTTCCTTAAGACATACCTTTCCTATTTTCTCAGCAACTGTTTTAGCCACTAGCATATAATCTATTCCAGGGGTGACCAAACCACAGCATGCTACCGGTGGCAAAAGCAGCTGCTGTGTGTGGTATGCGAGTCTCAGACATTCAGTAAAAAGAGGCACCACATACTACTAGGAGCAGCATGTACTACTAGGAGCCAGGTTAATCCTTCCCTGGCCCTGAAGCCACCACCAAATTCAGGGCTTTGGATCCTTGCTTTGGGACTGCAGCAGTTGAGGTCCAGATGAGGGTTAACCTCACTCTTGGCAGTAACGCTCTTGTAGCATCATCCTGCCTTCACTCTTCTCCATGTGGCCAGAGATTTGAGCCCCTCTGCCTCCCTTTGAAGTGACTCAAGGCACAAACTCTATCAGGTGCATCTCTGGGAGGAAGAGGCAAATCTGAGTAGCACTTGGTGAGGGGACAATTTATGACATGCATACCAAAAAGTTGGCCACCACTGGTCTAGTCACCCCTCCTATGGGTGGTGTTCTACTCTGTACAAATACAAGTATTCATTTATGTAGAAACCATGAGAATAAGGATGACTCCCTAGCCTGGAAGTTTAGATACTCATCTGGATCCCAGTCCTTGCTCAAGTGAGCATTTATATATACAAAGCAGAGATTTCAAGCAGCCTACCCCTAAAACACTCCACAGTTTTGTAATTAAGGCACTGTTCTGAGAAGTACGGGGAATCCAACACCTCTCACCCACCTCTTGTTACACTACTGGTCATAGTCTTTATTTTAACAAAGTATTTCTGATAGGACTGATAGTGTCAGATTAGACTGAACTTGAAGCAGTAGCATAACTAAGGGGAAGAGGGGAACCAGGGTAGCAGGATGGGCTCTCACTGGAGCTGCCGTTCAGCTGCCCCATGCACTGCTATTGCCCATGGTGAGGAACTCCCCTGATACTCAGTTGCTCTTCAAGTCAGAGGTGTATCTCCCTTGTTATGCATTGTTTTAAAATGCTGAATTCAGACATTAGGCTTCAATCCACCAAAATGCAGCACAGACTTAACTTTTGTACATAGGATAAACCCACTGAAGTCAATGAGATTACTTAAATTTAAACGTAGGATTAAGCACATCACTGAATCAAAATGTTGGTCCACTGCTACAGTACAAAGCCTTTCTGTTTATATTATTTGTTACCTGAAAATCTGCTCTGAAGAAATGGAGTCAGAAGAGAATGCCTTTGTTCCTGTTATTGTGAGTAACATGAAATTATGAGCTGAACCACTGACGCTAAGAGAACTGAGCTGCTTTACGAAGACATGACACGGTTTAATTAACTCTTTCTGATAAAGAGTTTATTCATACTTTCTCTCAGGACTCTGGCCTGAAGCATAGCTGTAATATATTACTGTTCAATGTTACCTTTTTAATATCTACTATTGTAGGTGTCCTTTAATTTAAAACAGTGAAAGAAGAGAAATTATTTCAGTCATGAGTCATCTTATGTCAGAGAGATGTTGGTGGCAGTACTTGAGACATGACTAGTTTACAGCACTCATTAGCCTTTTGGGCAGCATCCAGACAAGAGCAGATGTTTGTCTCCCCGGGGACAGGTAGCAGCAGCACACTTTGTGCCACTGCTACTTGTCCCCGGGGAACGCCTGTGCCACACACACCCTGGCGCACAGGGAGTTACCCTGAGTGGGGTAGGGGAGGCTGAGGCCAGAAACCGTGCTGGCCCAAGAAGCCCTACCTGAGGTCCTGGGGGCGACCCGGGGCACCAGCCACAGCAGCAGTTGAAGCATGGCTCTGGCAGGCCAGGCTCTGGTTTTGGGTGGCATGC